ACCAGTGTGGGTAGAGGCTGAGGGGTGCTCACATTTCATCTGTAAATTTTTGTTAGATTAATTTACGAGGAAACCTGGGTCCTATTAGCTAGACCATAATCCATGGCCCAGTACCAAGTCATAAAAAAAGTTTTCATCTATCTGATGCCATGGTTATGGGGTTTTGGGGCAGGTTTCTAGGTTCCTCCGAGGAACAAAGAACTGAATGTGGAATGTGATAGCAAAGAAAAAGCAGCAAAGCTGAATGAAGTTAGTTAGGTGATAGCTTGCTCCGCAAGTGGGTTAGTGCCAGTGGAAAGCAAAATGGCTCAAGCGCTGAAGGGCTGGGCATAAGATTTAACGTGTTCCACTGAGTCTAGGACACCTCTCACTGGGTCTCCCAGAGCATGACTGACAGGGCGCTGGGTCAGGTCAGCTGGGTCTACTGCGCATGTCCTTTCCCATAATTCACTGTGGCGCTTGCCAAGCAGGCATTTACGTTGCTGAACTATGTCCCCGGCTCCATAATTCACTCTTATAGTCAGGTGTAGGAGATGTACTCCATATGCATGAACCTTCAGTGAGTTTCAAGCAAAGAAAGATCACACAGAAAGATGTGGCATGTATGGGTCTTGGTTTGGAGCTTTCGAATTTTTCAAGGTGGGCCCAGGGATCTTTGTCTTTCTTGTCTCTGCTGTGTGGTAGGCCTTAGGACAAAGGTCAGAGTGCTGCTGTCCAGATTCAGGTGAGGGGAGGGGAGTGGACCCGTAGCTCCAACTGTACTATATATTACATCCACAGCAAATTAAGAAAGACCAACAATGTCTTGAGTTTTACATGAAACTGATATTCACTTTAAAGAAATGGTGGTCTTAACTTGTGAGATTACACCAGCATAATTTTACTTTATATTCCTACTACTACTTTTCTTCATAATATAGTGCCAATGGTATTTGTATTTGATTATGGATAATGTTTATGTTTCTATATGCCAAAATTAAAAGTTATTACATCTATATCTGTCCTTCATCTAAAAATGCAAATGAGTTCAATATAAAATCCAAACATTCAAGGATGAGTGAATTATATGATCTCTTTTCAGACTAAAGAATACCTCCAAGAAATCTTGAAGCTTTTTAAGTTTAATGACATATCATATAAGGTTATGTAATCATTACTAATATTTTATAGAACAAAATAATTAAACACTTCATTTAAAAAAATAAGTTAAAATAAATATATGGTACAGATATAACAATTAGGGTATTACATAAGAATAAATCATTCAGGTGGCTGGGGATTTGGCTCAGTGGTAGAATGTTTGCCTGGCAAGCTGGAAGCCCTGGGTCTTCGGCACCAAAAAAAAAAGAACGTTCAAAATTTAATAACAGTGATGACATATAAATTTCCCAGTACAAAGGAAAGGCAGTGGATGTAAGAGAAACTGAACAAAACCATTAAGAAATAGCAGCTATAGGGCTGGTGAGATGGCTCAATGGTCTAAAGCACCTACTTAGAACAAGCTTAGCAAAGCACAGGGACTGCGGTTCAATCCCCCAGCACCACAAACCAGCCAGCCTCGCCCCCTGGTGGGCTGAGCTGGAGACACACACACACACACACACACACACACATAAATAAAATAAATAAATAAATTTTTTAAAAAAAGAAATAGCTATAGAGTAAGAAGAGGCTCAATTTAAAATTCCTATGTTCTCTTTTGTTTATATTTTTTTCTTTTCTTTTCTTTCTTTCTTTTTTTTTTTTTTTTTTGAGGAACTAGGGATTGAACTCAGGCCCTTGCGCTTGTCAGGCCAGCGTTTATTCTACTGAGTGATCTCCCCAGCCCCCGTTTTTGTCTTTTTCAGATGGGGGTCTCACCAAGTACTTTAGGTTGGCCTTAAACTAACAATGTATCCCTGGTTGTCCTCCAACATGGAAATCCTCCAACATGGAAATCCTCCTTCCTCAGCTTGCCAAGAAATAGAACTACAAGCATGTACCATCAGGCCAGGCTCCATATTTTCAAATAGCTCTGAGGTAGGAGATCAATTGGATGGAATGCATCACAGAGCATAAGAACCCATGGCTAAGAGGTGAGGTGAGCTATTTCCCAAAGAAGGAAGACATGCACACAATACTGGCTCCTGAGCACTGTACCAGAAACCAATCAGAAAGCAAGTCTCAATTTGTCATTTGCATCTGTCAATGTTTGCAAGACCAATCAGTAGATGCTCTTCTCAATTCTTCATTTCATATGGGTGAAACCAGTCAAAAAGACAATGTTTCTGATCCTTCATTTACATCTAGCAAGAGGTCAAGCAAGTTTTTACATAGGACAATGTACATCTGGTGTGAGACCAGGTGAGTTACGATAGGACTACTGTCCCAAAGCCATGTGTGTGAGGTGGCAGCCAATCCTTTATAGGTACTAAACACCTCTTTCTCTTTGTCCGTAGGATACCGAGTCTTTTCATCACCACTCTAACACTGCAGAGTGCATTTTTTTCTTCCTTCAATAAATCTTTACTCTCACTGCTTTTTCTGTGTGTGTTCACACTTCAGTCAGGTCACCTGAACTTGTACGAGACCCTCTATGAAGCCCACACAGTAACAGTGTTAAGACTTAGGGAGGCTGTGTCTCTGTCTCTCTGTCAACAAAGTATCACTAAATTGCCCTGCTGGCCTCAAACCTGAAATCCTCCTGCCTCAGCCTCTTGAGTGGCAGGGACGCCATGTCTTCTAACCAAAGCTGCCTCATTTGAAAATAAGAATCCTAAAAAAAAAAAGAGAGAGAGAGAGAGAAGAAAAAAAAGAGAGAGAAAGCAGGGATCCTAATACTTATTTCATAATGATTATCAAAACTTAAGATATGTATATACAGAATAGTTAGGATAGATACCCAGCTACTTTCACTTAATTCAACCAGAAGAAAGATTTGTAATAATAGTGTCTGGATAGGATATCATGTCTTCATCTTGCACTATGGATAACCACTAAGAAGATAGCAATGTACACTGTATTAATTATTGGAACTGTCCTATTAATCAGTTTTGAATCTGTCTCATTGCTATTTGTTTCTCAATAAAATAAAAAAATAAAAATAAAAATAAAAAAAACTTAAGATGGAAGGGCTGGCCAAACAGCTCAGTAGATTAAAGGGCCTGCCAAATAGCCCAGTGGATTAAAGGGCCTGCACGCAGGCGCAGGGGCGGGGGGTTCGATCCCTGGACCTTCCATGCTGGCCCCATCCCTGTTGCATGCTGAGACAGCAATTAAGACTGGGCATGGCGGCGTGCACCTATAATCCCAGTTCTTGGAGGCTGTAAACAGGCAGATCACTACAAGTCTGATCTATTAGTGAGACCCTGAACACCCTGTAGACCCTTCCCCAAAAGAATTTTTAAAAAATAAAAATAAATTTTAAAACTTAAGATAGAATACTTTAAGCACTTGGTATATAGCACACACTCAAAATTGGAAATGATTACTATTGTCACTATGACCATCCGCAGTACTATTTCTAGAAAAGCTAGAAAAGCACAACTTGCAAGATCTCCTGAAAAGTATGTACCTTTTATGTATAATGAAAAGTATAATCATGTCAGTTCTCTGCAGTAGATATATGTGAAAAAACTGTAACCCCTATGTGCGCCTGCTTTCTAAAAATAAGCGGTCACATTCCCAGGAGAATTGGCTAATCCATCAATACTCATGCTAGACCTTTCTTAAGACAATCCTGCTCTGCCTTTCAAGTACTGATGAGCTCAGCTCTAAATTCTCAGTACACAAAGACTCCCACATAAGTTAATGGGAAGTCAATGGGAAATTGACTTTTCCTACTCCGTGCTGGTTGGAATGTAATGCTCTGTTAATCATGCCATCCTTCTTGTTCTCTTTCCTTCTACCCTAAATTAAAACTATTGGCGGAAACCCCACACAGATAGTTTACCATTTTCATTACGATGAAACAATGTCCTGGCTGAAGCTGAAGTCTATCAAAAACCTACGACCTAACTGTTGGCTATGAAAAGCAAGGGCCCTGATTCTACCAAAACGCCACTTTGCATTTGTATACAACTTTCAACTTTTCAGAGGGCTTTCACCTCTAGCACCAAACTGGGTCCTTACAATGACCCTGTGCAGTAGGAAGGACAAGCATTATTATCCACAATTGACAGATGAGGCTTCTATAGCAAGTGAAAGATGAAGTGATCTGCCTACGGCCAGGAAGCCAGAGAAAAGCCACAGTCTCCTACCCCAGCTCTCTGTCCAGCAGATCACTAAAAAAGGTTTTGTAAACAGATGATAAACTCTGATAAAATAAAATAAAATTGGGCAAAAGCTCCTATCAGGGGCCAAGTTTCTTCATCACTGCTGAATTGTGCAAACTTAGTAGTAAAACTTTAGAAAGGTAGCCTTTCTTCTTGTTTATTTCAGTCCCAGACAAGTGTTAATGCAAATTTTCACCAGAATTTATAATATAAAAGAAAAATTTTCCCCAGATATATTCGCATCACTTTCAATCAGTAAGTAACCCTCTAGTTCCTTCTAGAGCATGGGTAGGAAGATGGGTAGAAGTAAAATAACTGACAATACATCTTTAAATCCTGTATAAATATTAAGCCCGCAGCTACATTATAACTATAGTCTGAAAGGGTGAAGGAGATCTCCAGTTGAAAGCAGATTTTGAAAAATTTTTAGAGCCCAGGGGTTCATTTTTAATGAGCCGTTACTTTAAGTACTGCATAAAAAATACAGGAAATTGATAGTCCATTTAGTCTGCACCATACCTAATGCAAAAGTCATTAAGATGCATTACTCTTAATGTTCATGAGATGATCAGTGTCTTTTGAAAAGAAATGCCCTCAACTTTCACATAAGGAAATCTTTGAAAACCTTATCTATTATACAGAAAACATTATGCAACTGTGATTACTTGCAAGTCTTCACCATGCCCCAAAAGCAGCATCTCAATTACATTAAAATTTTAAAGGAGTCCTCATTTATAACGAACTTACATACGACAGCATTGCCTTCATTTCTTCATCACTTCTCACAGTAATTCTATCACCATCTTCATCTTCATCTGTTTAAAAAAAAAAGTCAGTGGGTGAGATTTGTATTTTTAAAGTACAAAAAGTATGCTGCCTTGAACATAATATAACTGGGTTTATTTACAGCTTGACATCTAAGCCCTCAACACCACACTGACTATAGGGTGTTAGAATTATAATTACTACACTGTTTTGGTTTTTGTTTGCTTGGAATCTAATCAGAATCACCAGAAAGACCTAAAACTTTGTTTTAGGGATGAATGAAAATCAAAATATTGCTCATGTCATTTTTGACACACATCCAGCTAAAGTAAATGTAACTAAAACACAACAAAGCACACTTGAGAATTTTCAAAACCAAAGAGAGGCCAGTCCTGTTCTACCATCAATACATTTTTATTTTCTAAAAAGTACCCTGTCACCCGTATTTCCCCATTTTTTCTCTCTCTGTGGCAGCCTAGCGTGCCACAGAAGCATGATACAAATGGAAAGTGTTTACTGAACACCACTTATGTACAAGGCCCTGGGACTGATGCGTCATATGCCATGCCACCTTTCGAACCTTTCCACAACCCTACGATGTGGACATGATGGTTCTGTTATCCCCCCTCCTTTTTTTGGCTTAAAAGAAAAAGAGCCTGAGGCCTAGTACAAGGTTAACTTAAAAAGCAACCCCAGTATAGATCTTTCTATTTCCCATCCAGCTGCAGTTTTCTTTTCAAATGGTTTCATTCTGACTGGGTTACTCTCTGGTCCTGGCAAGCCTGCAGTGGTGATTCAGATTATTCTGAAATAAGGTAACAGTTTTAATAGTATGTCTTTACAAAATACATCACCAGAATGTGTCCACTTAAACAAGTTTCCTCTAAGGGGCCACATCCTGAAACAATGTACTTACTTCAATAATTTTCTTCATTAAAATAGTTTTGAAGTATTGCTTCAAAAACTGTCTTAAGCTGGGGAAATAGCTCAGCGACACAAGCGCTTGCCTGCCAAGCACAAGGTCCTGAGATCAATCCCTGGTACCAAAAACAAAAACAAAAAGGCATTTTAAGAATCTAAAACTAGATCACATGAGATCTCACATCAAATCTCATTTTTAACCCAAAATGGAACTGCTGGTCACATCACCTAACCTTGTCCCCTCCCGCTGAACTCAGACAACTTCTGGGTATTTCTAAATATTTAGTTAGACACTTCATCCTTCTAAAGATTTGTCAATAACATCTGATGAGCTGGGTACATAGTTTATAAAGAAAAATGCCCAAAACATCTGAGTGATGTTTCAGGCCTCCCAAGGTGACCACCTGAAAGGGGAAGGTTCTCATTGCTTTTGGCCTTATAATCGCTGACCAATCAGATGCAGAGATTGTGCTGACCCCCAAGCTGCCAGGCCACGAATCTCTCGTGAAAAGAATTGGCTTGCAGGACATGCTCTGGAGATGTTTGTGAAAGAACCAGGTGATTCAGTTTCAACACATGGATCTCCCCAACACACACACCTGCAGGTCCAGCCCCTCCTGGCCAGCTGTAGTTCTGGTGATATCTACTTGCATTGTAATCAGGCCACGGAGACCCTAACAGGGGCCCATTTAGCCTTTTATACAGAAAGATGCTACTATTTCCTTCCCCTCGGTAGCCACCTGACAGCAGGACAGAAACTGGTACTGCCACACAGCCAAACGTCAAAACAGTGTGCAGCCCTCAGTGACCGACTACTCAGTGGCCATGCCAACAGCTCTCATGCAGTCTTCTTTCCAAAGCATCTGCTTCTAGATGCGGCATCTTGGGTCACTCAGCGAGATCCCAGACCTGATATGATCAGGTCATTCAGTCTACAAGGTAGGGACTGTTGAGCGTCACTACTGGTATTCTGCAACCCAGGGCTCTCTGTTCTCAGCATGAAAGGCACACACTGGTCCCTTTCAGAAAGGACATAAAAGTTGATGAATGCAATCCCAAGGATGGACACACACAAGGACTATGAGGAACCTAGCACATTTGCTTTCCCTTTCAGTGTAGACTCTAAGGCCAAACTGGGAGAGAAATGACATTCTTTATTTGTCCGCTTGCTTATTTTGTCTTTTTGAGACAGGGTTTCATAGGCAGTTCAGGCTGGCCTTGAACTCACACCGTAGCCCATGCAGGCTTTGAACTCTGGGTTCAGCATCCTGAGTCACAGCATTACAGGCACATGCCACCATGCCCAGCTAAGAAATGCCATTTTAGTTGTACAGGCAGAAGACAGAATGACTCCTGTTTCCATATATACTCTAAAAACTATCAGTTTTCAAGGTTATTTATTAAAAGGTTTCTTCTGCTTAGGCAAGCACAAAGACCCAAAACATGCTGAGCCGGCAACTGAGTCCAGGGGTGGTGGCGCATGCCTGTTATGCCAGTGCTGGGGAGGCTGAAAACAGGAGGATCACTATGAGCCCAAGCTGCAGAGTGAGACCCTATACTAAATAAATAAAATTTTTAAAGAAGATAAAATTTTTAAAGAGGATTTCTTAAAACTGCATTAGATAATGAGGAAAAAAGAATACAAAAGAATATACTGTTACGTATTATCACATGTGACAGCACTTTTTATTTTGCCTTCAAACCAGGTTAAATTCTGCTCCAGCCTCAAAGAAGCAGTTCCTGTAATCTTTCTACACCAGAGCTAGCAACAGCAAAGATGGCTACAAACGAGGTGCTTAGATACAAACTGTGACACATGCAAGATCTACAAGTGTCTGCACAGCACACGGAAGTTTGGTACAACCGGCAAGAACTTCCTTGCAGTTTCTAAACAGAGTGCACAAATTCCAGAAATATTAGCTGAAATGTAATCTAAGTCAAGATACAAGAGAGGGAAGGGAAAGAGTGGGGAGGGAAGAGAAGGGGTGGGAAGAGATCTTAAAATTCTCATAGCCAGCTTTACCTATGCAAGGCTACTTAAGACAAAATACTCTGAACTTCTAGACTTCTATGGAGTTTCTTGAGGGATCTTTTTCAGAATGGGGGGAAAAAAAAAACCCTGAGAAAACTCAACTAGTTGGCCAATTCTGGGCAGACCAGCTCTGTAAAAAGCACCTATGAAACACTGCCACCGAAGCACCTATTTAAGTAGAAGGAAAACTCAGGCTTTGATGCTGATCCCACTGTGAAGTGCTACAACTGTCCCACTGGGAGTCTGACTCAAAGGGAAGGATTTCAGGTAAGCTGAAAGGAGCATTCCAATAAAGCCTGCAGATGAAACCAGGCTATGTGATTAATGAGACTAGATTTTTATCTCAATCTTGGTTTTCTTTGGGGAACTGTTTGTTTCACTCTAATATCTGAGCATACTTGCTTTAAGGAGAACAAAGATTTTGAGTTCAAAGAAGAAACTAAAATTGGAAAAATAACCACATCCATGAGAACAAGGGGAATTCTGGACAAAAGGTAAAAATCTAAGCGGTCTCTGATCCCTTCATGGCAGCCCAAGTGCAAGCACTTCCTTTAACACTTAAAATGGGAGTGCGCGTCTCTCTGCAGACAGCTGATGGGCGACGGTGAGGAGTGAGGGCCGGCAAGCAATCAGAAGCACATGCCAAACAAGCTACCAAGATGGTACCCTAAAATACTTTTCTAAACAAAGAGCTAGACAAACACAACTCATCGCTCAAGCACTCATAAACTGGGCCTGTTACTAAAAGTTCCACGAGCCAGAATTATAAATCCTAAGCTTACTAAAATAGCACAGAGTTTCAAAGGTACAAGTATGTTGGTAAAGAACAAGAGAAAGTAGTGGTACTAAAGTGAAAAGAAGTAGAAAAATAACTTGAACTCTTTCCATCTTATGCATGAAGGTTCTTTGCCATCTGACCAGGAAAGCATTACTGGATATAACCAAGAGAAAGAGGGAGGAAGATCTGACACACTGGTTCACAATGAGAACTCCAGGCTTCTCGAGTTGCCTGGAGCACAGTAATATGATTTTCCAGCACATTAGGGAAGCAAAAGTAGAACCAGAAAGTCTATGTACTGGCTGGATTTTGTTAATGTCACTTAAAATGGAGGAAAAAATCCTAGCAAGACACCAAATAGAGTGCAGCAGATGGTAAACAAATATTATGAAGCAATCTTCACAAAATCTGCAGTGTGTCACAAATATACAAAATGGCAGAGTTTGGGAAAAGAGAATCATAACAGGCCATATGTTGTTAGCGATTTTACTGGAAGCGACGTGCGATCCAAAAGAGAAACCTAGAAGAGGAACATAAGGGCCTCAGAGAGAGCAGCAGCCGCAGGTAGGGCTGGTCAGGAGATGGCCCACGGAGGGAGGGCTGAGCAGGGGCAGGGCCGCCCAGGCAGACGGGGACAAGAGAGCTTCCATGGAGAGAAAGTTAAGGCAATATAGGCTGTGTCATCTGGTACACGCCTGTGTCAGGTCAACCAGAGCTACAGCAAAGGCATTTCTCACCAAGCCAAGAGGAAAGAAATGAAAACAGAACTGTAGTAGTTGGAAAGACATCAACTGGAAATTGCGAGAAAGAATGTCAAGCTTATAGCCCTTCTCAGCAGTGGAGTCCACAGTTTCTAGGGCCCAACACTGTATCCAGGAGTTCTCATTTGGCTCCATCCATGCTGACCTCCTAGTACTTCTCGCTTTCCTTGTTTCTTTCCTCCTTTGAGCAAATGAACTTTCCCACTACATGGCAGGCATTTACCTGGGCACTGCAAGAGTAACAGTGAAGAAGAAAGCCACAAGAAAGTGTAAGCTCTAGGTGCTTATGGAGGGGGATGCGAGAAGGGGCTGCGAGCCATCTGGAGAGGCCCAGAGTGAGGAGAGCGAGCAGGGTGATAGAGGAGAGTGAGAAGTGGGGAGAGGGACAGGCAAGTCCAGAGAAGGTACTGTGGGCCAGAGCAGGGAGACAGGAAATCACAGACACTCACAGGCATTTGGCTGTGGCTTTTATTCTGGAGGGGGTTTTGTTTGTTTGTTTTTAATGTCACTGATGATCTGTCTTTTAAATTTTTAAATTATAGTTATTAATACATTGTATTGTAATTATTATACATTAACTGGCTTCCACGGGACATTTCCCTAACTGCAGATACCGTGCTTTGACATGTGAGCCCTGCCGACTCTTGGACCCCCGTTCCCCACCTCCCCCTTGTCCTTCCCTCGTGCTGAACAGTTTCTCCACTACTTTCAGATCCTCCTGTTTAAATCCCAATTTCCACACACGAGAAAAAACATGACGCCTGTCTTTCTGTGTGTGGCTTACTTTGCCTAACACAATGACCTTTAGTCACATTTATTTTCTTGCAAATGACATGATTTCATTCTTCTTCATGGTTGACTAAGACTCTAGTGTTCATATATACCGTATTCACCTTGTTGATGGTTTATCTCTTTATTAGTATATGCTTATGACACAGTAATAATCATACGCACCCTGGAGAACTGCTACGCACACAAACTACATTTTGACCATTTGTATTCCCTCCTCCCACCCATCCGCCCCTCCACCTTCCCAGAGCCCCTTTGCATCTCCTCTGAGTCCTCTCCCTGCTTCCTATCCCCTTTCTTTTATTTTGCTCTTTAAATGATTTGTACATTGGATTTACCTTAGTGAAACCATGCAACATTTAACCTTGTGTGTCTGACTGCTAATATGCGCTCAAGATCCACCCATTATGCTCCAAATGACTCAAATTTGTCCTTCATGGCACGGCCAACAAGTAAACATGCGTGTGCACACATCACATTGTCCTTACCCATTCACTGTCACTGGGCATCTAGAGGCTTTTATGTCATAACCTCAACTAACAGCTGTGAGGGTCACTCTGCTTAGTGGAGAAGAGGCCATATGGAGACAAAGAGGTTAACAGGGAACTAGGAGGTACCTGCCTACTCTAGGTGACAAATGACAGTGGCCTATAACAACATGACAGTATTGTTGTCCTTTTGTCCCTCCCTCTCTCCCTCCTTCCCTCTTTCCTTCCTTCCCTCTTCCCTTCCTTTCACAGGATCTTTCTATGTTGCCCAGGCTGGCCTTTAATTCCTAGGCTCAAGCAATCTTCCTGCCTGAACCTTCTAAGTAGCAAGCACCACTGTGTCTAGCCAAGCTGAAGTTTTGAAAAATTGTCACATACTGGATCTATTTTGAAGACAGTCCACAGGATTTGCTGATAAATGGGATATGGACATATCTTGGTCTTAACCATCCAGCAGAAAAGTATAAAAACAAGGTATATAATGTAAAGCCATGCTAATATGCTGAGCTGTGAAAGGCTCAAGTCAAAAACTTCTGCGAATAGCCCACTACTATTGTGGACTGCTGGACTGTGTTGGATTGTTTTGCTGAATTCACAGACCTATAGTATTTAGATGCCAATGAGATACCCATCTCTGACAGGACTAAACAAAAAAAAGGGATACAAAGGAAGGACCATTTTGTATCTGTATATACAGAATAGTTAGGATAGATATACAGCTACTTTCGCTTAGTTCAATGAGAAGAAAGATTTGTACTAATAGTGTTTGGACAGGATATTCTGCCTGTATCTTGTACTATGGATAACCGCTAAGAAGATAACAATGTACAATGTATTAATTATTGAAACTGTCCCATTAATCAGTTTTGAAACTGTCCTATTGCTATTTCTCAATAAAATAAAATAAAAATAAATTAATATAAAAATGATATATGGACATAGATACAGAATGTCCTTACTCATTTCTTTGATCATTCACGCATTCCAGAAACTACTGAGTCAGCTATGTAGCAGGAACTGTAGCAGGGTTTCTGGAGACAGAAAATGAGCAGCACACTGCAGAGATCGCTAAGTGGCACAGCACCGGCCCGGCAAGGATAAGGTCGTGAGTTTGATTCCAGATACCAAAAAGGAAAAACATGAGCAGCACTGTCCGCTGACTTCCAGAAGCAAGGAATCGAGTACTTTTGTAAATAATTTAAACTTCTTAAGGTCAGTACAATAATGGTCCACGCCTGAAACTCCGAACCTACAAGGCTGAGGCATGAGGACTGAATATTTGAGCCCAAGCTGAACAACTTAGCAAGATCCTGTCTCAAAATTTTTACAAATTCAAAAAGAAGTGGGAATGTAACTTATAGCCAAGACTGCATTCAATCCCCAGTTACCCAAACTACAACAAAAAAACACTTCTTAATTTTGCAAATTAGCAAGACAATTATTAAGAAATAATAGTTCCCCTTACACTAAAATGGATCTAAACTTTTTACATCAATTATTATTTGCAGTCAAACTCAGATGAATGGCTTAACAAGTATGAGTACCCTGAGGCCTACAGATCTGAACAGGCAATGTTAGCGTCACGGGAAAGTAAGAGCACAGTGCTACGAGTGCGAGTCAACCTTTGCAGAGACTTTGAGAAGTGTCTTCCAAGTCAGGGGAGACAGGGTTGGGGAGATGGCTCAGTAGAGTAAGCGCTTCCCTGGAAAGCATAAGGGCCTGAGTTCAATCCCCGGTTCCACCAAAAATAAATAAATAAATAAACTAAAATAAAAAAATAAAAAGGTGAAGAAAAAAATTTAGGAAAAAAAAAAGTCAGGAGCGACATACGACTAACAGCAGTCAAGCAGTCACTCTACAGAAGTGACTTTCCCTTTTTCTTTTTAGTACTGGGGAATTAATCCAGGACTTTTACACTGAGTTACATCCCCAGCTCCATAGTTTTTACTTTGAGGCAAGGCCTCAGAAAATCCCTAAGTTGCCCAGCCTGGGCTCAAACTTGGGATCATCCTGTCTCAGGCTCCCGGAGTGCTGGGATTCCGAGCATGCAGTTCCTGTGCAGAGAAAAGCCCAGGAAGAGGAACACAAGCAGCAGAAAGCACGGCAAATGCGTCAGTGGCCAAGGGTGAATGTTAGCACCTCACGTGCTGGTGTGCTCATTAATCTGTTAATGAAATTGCAAAACCAGCAGGGATCTCTGGGCCTGTATGAGCATCAGGATGGCGTACGCCGCATACAGGACCCACACGTGTAAATATGCTGGACTGTTTGTGGTTATAGAATTTAGCCTCATCTGAGAAATGTCCTCACATCTGGGAAAAGACGCATTATTCTATAACTGGCATGGAGTCAACTATCTGCTTGAAAAATAAAGTTAGATCTGTTCTTTTGCCAAAATAAAATGAAGATGTTACAAGAATTTTATTCTGATCTTTGTAATAATAAAAAATGCATGCCTGGCCAGAGGTGGCGTCACACACCTACAATCCCAGCACTCAGGAGGCAGAGGCAGGATTCCTGTGAATTCAAGGCCAGCCTGAACTAATAGCAAGATCCTAGCTTAGAGAGAGAGAGAGAGAGAGAGAGAGAGAGAGAGAGAGAGAGAGAGAGAGACAGAGAGACAGAGAGACAGAGAGCAAGCGCAAGAGGGAGAACATGCTTATTGTTTTTTAAAAAATCTGTGTGTTAACTTTATTAAAGTAGAAAGGAATAAAAGACTACATATGTCTGCTTTTCCAGTGTCCTTGAATGTGGAAGTTCTTTCTAAGCATAACTAATCCAAAAATCACAAAGGAAAATATGTCAAATTTCACTGTGAGAAAATCTAAACTCTATGGAGAAAGAAAACAAAAGAAAAAGACCAAAACAGTGGTCAGCTCAGCAGCACATGTACTAAAATTAGAACAATATGGAAAAGGTTAGCACGGCCCCCTGCATGAGGATGACGCACAAATTCATGAAGCACTCTGTTTTTTTAAAGTATCACTCTGGTAACCAAAATGGTTAAAAGAACAAATTTATTTTATTTTTTAATTCATTGTTAACTTTACTGAAAATCAATAATTATATAGCAAATTAAAAATTATAGACAAATACTGAAATGTGAAAGATGTAGATAGTGAATTTTAGAAAAACATTTCTGAAATGAATACGTAACATGAAATTAATAGATAGCACATTGTAAAAAAATTATTTACAAACTTAAATTAATATAACAATAAAAATTATCTAAAATAAACATGAAGAGTTTACAGATCAGTCATATAATAATTCACTCTGTGCCAAAATCAAAAAACTTATATTCATATAATTGCAATTCTCAAAGAAGACTGGGATAGGCAATAAATATTTAAAATTTCTGAATTTAGTTAAAATTATAGCACCATATTTCCAAGAAAAAAATGAACCTTTTGCACAAGAAGTATGAATAAAATCATACCAAGATACACAAAAATGAAACTTCCCAAAACTAATTGTAAAGAAAAAATCATTAAAGCATGTACACAGAAAAAAATATTAGCTATGGAAGAACAGAATTAAACAGCACCTTATGCCACATTAGAAAAAAAAAGACTGTACGTGCCATGCCGGCCCCACCCCCAGGCACGCTGAGCCAGTGATGGAGTCCAGGCGTGGTGATGCGCGCCTGTAATCCCAGCACTAGGGAAGCAGAAATCAGGAGGATCACCACGAGTCTGGGCTGTGTAGTGAGACCCTACACACACACACACACACACACACACACAACCCTGAAAAAAAAAAAAGTGGGTAAGAGACTAGACTTATTTATTCAAAGGACTGGGAAAAAAAAGATCTGTCCTCATTGAATTTCATACTTAGCAAACACACTGAGCAAGTTCCCCCAGAGCAAGTTCCACTCATACGCCAAGTTCTTGAAAACTAAAATATTTTCCAGTTATACAAACTCAAAATATTGTAATACCTACAGACATAGCATATAGAAGATAACAAAGACCATAATCCAGAAGGCAAGAGAAGTTGCTGTGTGGTCCTGGATAAAGAATAAAGAGCTCTCAAAATGGTAGTTATGCAAGACTATGTAAAATATAATTCTATTAGACGAACTCATTTAAAAGGTCATTGAAGATTTCCATAAAACAGTATCAATTTTATGTCAGGCCATATACACATCTTTTTTGTGTGTATGTGTGTAAAAGACAAAGAAAAACTAATATAAAGTCAATGGAAAATGGAAATAAACTTTTTAAAGTTTCTAATTCTAGAAGAAAATATCATACCACGTCTTATAAGTAGATTTGAAGTCAAAGAAACAGTATAAATTATAAAACAAAAATTAAAATTAAACAATATTTAGAAAATTAAATATTTATTTCAAAATTAAATAATTCAAAATAACATTCAAATGTTAAAATTAATAGTGAGTCCAACTAAGAGGCCAGAATGTAGTGTATCACATGTACAAATCTGTGAACAATTCAGAGTACTCATATAGCATTTGATTAGGTTAATATATAAAAAAAATCAACTAAGAAAATGTTTTCATGATAGTAAAGAATTACTAAGAATAAAACATAACAAAAATACTGGAATGGCAAATATATGACCAGCATTTCTCACAGTTTGGGGACTGGATATGGCACAAAGTTCTAGTACGTGGTGGACATGGACAGTGTCCATGACGCTTACTGGTTGCCAGGTGTCCACACATGTGGGACTGAGCTACTGCTATTTCTTTGATATCCACCCTGCAGACCCACACAGGATCATGACCCACAGGATGCAGGAGAAGTCCATTTGTAGAGTATGCTGATGGAAATACTTTGCTGCTATATAAAAAAAAAAATAATTGAAAGACTGCTATTGTATACCTCTTTTTCTCCTGTGTTTAATTGTTTGCCCTATTTGATGGGTACTTTCCATTCTCATTCATGGAGTGGTGGTCATTTTGATCCCTCTCTAGAATATCTTTTAGTAGTCTGTGTAGGGCTGGCTTTGTTATTATGAAAGTCTTTAGTTGTTCTTTGTCGTGGAAGTATTTCACTTCTCCATTATATTTGAAAGATAGTTTTGCAGGATATATCAGTCTGGGTTGGAATTTGTTTTCTTGCAAGACTTCAAGTACTTTGCTCCATGCTCTTCTTGCCTTGATGGTTTGTGAAGAGAAATCTGCCGTTATTCTGATTGGTTTTCCTTTAAATGTGATCTGTTTCTTTTCTCTAGTAGCTTCTAGTATATTGTTGCTGTGCTGAATTTCTAGGATCTTGATTATTATACGTCTGGGTGTGGTTTTAATTGGGTTGATGTTATTTGGAGTTCTATATGCTTTGGTGATGTGAATGTCAGATTGTTTCCCCATGTTTGGGAAGTTTTCTGCTATTACTTATGCCCATATTCTTTTCATATCATTTGTATTGATTCCTTCTTTCTCACTGATGCCTATTATTCCCACATTGTTCATCTTCGCATCGTCTTACAAATGTTTATTTTTTCCTGCATCCTAGTTGTATTTAAGAGATCTTTTCTTACCTTTTCACTAGTTGCAATGGTGTCTTCAAAGTCTGAAAGTCTATCTTCACTTTCATTCAAACAGTTTTGCCAGCTTGTGATTGAGATTTTAATTTCCTTTATAGCACTTTGAATCTGCTTCATTCAATTTCTTTCCTATATTGCTCATTCAAGGATCCCAGCATTTTTATATTCTCCTCTATTTTTTATCAGCGTATTCTTTAGAAGCACTTAGTACTTCTTTCATTATATTATCATTTCTTTTTTTACTTCAGAAATTATTTCTGATCTGATTTCTTCTATACCTTTCTGCTGTTGTTTCTTTACTTCAGATGCTATTATTTCAGAGATTTCAGGTGTGTGCTTTCCAATTTCTTCTATGCTATTGTCTCCTGCATTTGTTCTGGTTGGGTTCGGGGCCTAAAAATCTATTCTGCTCCTTTTCTTTGTCATTTTGTATAGCACTGTTTTCTGACCTTTGGCGCAGAGCTTTGGTAGAGTTATTACCTTAGCACCAGGTCCAGATCTACCAAGTTCAAATTTGTCCTAGTGGGTGTGGATGGGGTCTGGCTGCTGTGATCCACTTCTTACTGTTGCAGTCCTTGTAGATGAACTCTCTGGCAAGATGTTCTGCTCCTGGATTAGCTGACTGGGTCTTGACTCTAGCCTCTCTGCAGGGAGTTCTGCTGCAGGGCTCCACACCAGGCCTGTCTGATGGAGCAAGTTCCACTCACATGCCGGGGCTGGGCACTGGCTGGAAAGAGGGTCTGGCAGGACCCAGGCAGTCCCACTCACACGACAGGGCTAGGCGCTGGCTGGAGCGAGGATCCAGTGGGCCCTGGGCGGTCCCACTCACAAGAACAAATTTAGGTAAAAATTTTCTTATGTAATTTAGTGTCTAATAATTACATAACTGACTAAAAGGTTATTTTATACTAAAACGGACATTTAAATGTATTTCAGAGACAATATCAAGATTATCATTCTGAAATACTATGTGCAGCTCTTTATCCCAAGTTTTCTCTGTAGAACTTTATAAATGTCTATTAACACTTTGCAGGGGTTGAACTTCTAAAACAACCATAACTGGTAAGAAATAACAGTCCTCTGGCTATATTTTATATTTCCAAGAGCTTGATATGAGATTATAACAGTTAAGGTCACTGCTCCCACTATAATACTGATGTACTGATCTTGTCTTCTCAGTGTTCAACAATTGAAGTTTGGAGACCAGAACTAGAAAAGTAACTGGGTTAATAGGAGAGCCAATAGTTTGGCCCTGGGCCTTAGGTCAATGAAAGCCCATGACATGAGAGAACCTTTTTTCCAAGATCCTGCAACTTTGACGAGTCACCCAACCTCCTGAGTAGGGAGACTGCTAGACCCCCCCAGAGTACAGGAATTGACAAACATACAGTGTGCCAAGAAAAAGGGTCACCAAAGAGGGAAAGGTCTCCCATACTTTCACAGAAAGCAATGTGGAAGACTGTGATCCATCCTAGTGGTTGACACTGACAGAGGACTTGAGAAGCTCGGTATATGGTGCCAAAAGTAAACCCTGAAGAGACTTGGGCTGACCCTGATAGACACTAAGAGTTAATTCTGATTAACATAGATCTTGCTTTAACTCAGTCCTCAACACCCAGCAGTAAAGTATAACCAAAAGATATATGAAAGCAATGCCATAGCTAGATATAAAAAAAGGGCTCCAATTGCTGACCGCTTCTGACAGTTTCCAGCTATACCAGCAGCTGACTACTATTATGGTTCAGTGAGGCTAAAACACTACAGTGGAAAGTATAAAAGCTCAAGAAGAATCTTGAAATTCCTTAGTAAAAGTGCCCTTCAGAACCACCGAATTCTCCCTCTTCTTACAGCTAAAACTAGAGGGATTTATGCCAAGAAATATCAGACCTATAGATAACGTCTATCAGTAGCAGGGTCTAAAAGTCAGCTAGTTACAACCACTACTCCAGGCCTTTAAGAGCAATTTTTGGATGTGGCTCTTTCTCCAGCCTGCCTTTTTTTTTTTTTTTTCTTTCTTTTTTTTTTTTTTTTGTCTTTTTGAGACAGGGTGTCACTGTGCAGTTCAGGCTAGCCTTAAGCTCAAATGTAGCCCAGGCTGGTCTCAAACTTATCTCAGCCTCCCCAGTGCTAGGATTACAGGTGTAAACTACCATGCCTGGCCTTCCAACCTGCCTTACCATTCTGATGTTCACACTTTGATTCCATATGCTTTAATTTCATAGAAAATTTGTTTATTCTTGTCCAGAAGCTGCCAAACTCCAAGTCATCCCACAGATGGAATCAAGGACAACTGGGCCCTACTCCTTTCGCTGAGTTCCATTAGATCAACCTTGTGAAGGGAGTTCATAACTGCTAACTACCAACATTCTACCCAAGGCCCATTAGATTAGCTCTCTGAAGAAGGCCCCTGACTTCTGCTTTTCCCTACACCAACCCTGCTCAGCTCAAAGCAGCTAAGTGGA